GTAGTGGCTAGGCAGTTCGTTATGGGAATTTAGCAGCTCACTAATACATACTTAATGCAGCTACAAATCTCCTGGCCTCAAACTTCATAAGTTTTGCCTCTTCCCTTTCCTTCTCTTCTTTTTCCTTCCTGTACAATCAGCACATCCTGTCAATATTTCGTTGCCAGTTTCTCTCAGATTCATTTCTTCCTCTCCAGGCTCTCTGTCATTACTGTGTTCTTCATGATTAGATTAACTCAGCAGGCCCCGCCTGTCTCCCTAGGGAGGGACTCTCTGCCCACCACTCCCCCAGGGCTTGGAACATCTGTCTCCTTGAAGCCCTGTCCATCGTGCTGCTCCTCTGATTAAGAAGGCATTGTAGCTCTCAGCTCATCAGCACTCCTTACATATAGTTCAAAGATTTCCAGCAAACGAGTCCTGTTCCCTCATCCAGCCCTCTCCCAAAATTTCTCAAATCAGGTCCTGACCCTAGCCAAGCTGGGTCTCCTTACTGGCCCCAACACATACCACATTTGTCCCAACCCCAGATGTGTGCCAGGACACACTGTCACCTTCTCTCTGTTAAACCACATTCAAATTCTTCACTTGAAAGCCACTTCCATCATGAAGACATCTTCTAGCCACTCAGAATTCCAAAGACTTCTAACTATTAGATATTTTAAAACATGTCTTCCAACCAGACATACATGGCTACTGCTAAAACAAGTTTAAGAAAAGAATGGACGTATTCAGTAATAGCTTTGCGCACATGTACAATTTAGGGCTCTCTTCCTCCCTCCCGAGGGTAGAAACTGAGAAGCCTCTACTGAGCCTTCTCTACATCTCCCCAACGTTGAGTACCGAGCACAGAAATGGAAACACTAAAGTGCAGAAAGAAAAGGCTAACATTTTATTGGGCTACCACAGTACTATGCCTCAGTCACATTCACATAAAGCAGATCATTACAGCAATGCTGTGAGGTAAGTAGAGTTAACCATTTTTATGTAATTAGCCTAGGGAACTAGGCTCAGAGAGGTTATGTTCATTGCCCAAAGTTACACAGAAGGTGACAGGAAGAGCCAAGATTGAAGCATCGATCCCTCTGACCCTGAAGCCATGCCCTTTCCTTTACATTGCCCTGCATGTGGCCAGTGACTCAAGGCTTTGCCCTGAGGAGTATCGTATTTATACACAAATAACACAAGCATTCTATTTTTTTTGCCAACTGCACGAACTCTCACACATTATTTTCCTAGGTGCATTATGTGCATTATATGGGTGGGCATGTTATTTATGTGGGTACATTATTTGCAGAAAATACGGTACACAGACGAGTAAGTGAATGGTGTTAGGTGGGTATCTGGAACCTACCCTAGCCTGCTTCCTGAGCCCTTTACCTCTGACATCAAGGAGTCCTTAGCT